TAACATATTAAATCCAAACACTTATTGGACATATGCATCTACTGGGTAATACTCTCTGATTTACAAACTTTTCATGGTATATAAACTTAGCCGGTTATTTACTAAAAGTAAGACACAGGATACAAGTATATTCTATCTGTTGATGAACCCTTACACCGTAACCAAGGTGTCAGCACACAGCTCGGTCTAATCTTGAATGCGCAAGGTTACAACGTGGATGCTCGGGTGGTGGAAGCGAATATCAAGTAGGTTTGACACCTGTCTCTGGAATGCAATCTTCATTTGTAGTGAGTGGCCTACTTTTTCATCGTTGGGCTCTTGCACACAGGCCGAGGTTGGGAGGGGGATTTCTCAACTCGATCCCTCCGAAGCTTAAGTTAGTATTATGTGGATAAAGAGATCGAATGTCCGAAGTGCTTCCCTTGATGTCGATCAAGGGGTCGACTTTTATACATGCAAATTAGAGTCGATCGTATGTGATCGATAAATGACGGTTGACTCTTCGAGCGACGACTCATACCTACTATGCAAGTGTCAACCAATTTCCACAGATCCACACTGCGCGACACCGTTCTAAACTTTCTGGAATGGCTTTGTGCTATGCGCGCCACCTCGTACGGCCTCAGACAACACTAGACAAGTAGCCGTCCCACTCGAGTCCGAGGTGTCATTTTGACATGATGCACTATATCAGTCCTGAGGATCCATGTAGGCGCTAACGTGACCGCTAACTATTATTGTGGAGGGTGGCCCTAGAATTTACTGAAAGAAAGTTTGCAGAATGTATATATTTTTCACATTAAAAAAAATTCTCCCACTTGGTTTGATGCCTTAAGGGTTTTTTCGACTGCTTTCTAAATAAATGTTTGAGAATGATACTCTCACCTTCCATCTCATGAGTTACAGTGGTTTCGATGAGGACAAGTCGATGGGCCAAGCCATCATGCCAACTGCGAGCGCTCAATCTCGAATGTCCATGTCCGCGGTGACATGACGACAAGCTATTACTGTTCTTTAAGCCTATTTGTTATCGTTCTGCAATCGTAGTAAGTAAAACTTATTCGAATGCTCAGTTCTATTCAACCGATCTAAATCGAGTTAGATATCTTTTGATTGAGTAGGAGACATACAAATAAGTATCAACATCATGTTCTTATATCTAGACAGCAACTACAACTTAGATCATATGAATTATCATTGTAATGCATGCAGGCCTTCAAGCTTTCCTCCTCAAGGTAAAGACTAACACGGTGTAGTTGCATTTGTCTTTTAGGAGGTGCCTTGCAGTAATATTATC